CACACACACACACAGTGAGAGTGAATATAACAGTGAGGGATGAACAGGAGACTTCCTATAGATGATACCTTTTAAAAGAGTGAGGTTTGTGAGTTGAACAAAAACTATGTCCTATATTCAAATCTTAAAGTACTCATTGTTGGAAATTTGATTGTAGCCATTAAACCACTGAATCACTCATACACATGGACTGGATCTACAAATTCAGCCAGATGAGGAAAATAATTACACTCTTTATTCGTTTAGTTCAAAAATTAGTGTAAAAATGTCCTCTTTGTCCAAGGAAAATATCACTTTTAGCAGGGATATACCTTCTAACTTGTACTTAGCTATATGTAAAATTATCTTTTCTAATGTTTTTTGATTCTTGAGTTATATCACTTCTACTTGAGTATGTCAGTAATTCTGCAACTAACAGTTCTTTTCATCAATCTCCTGATCATTTTCTTTGATTATTAATTTAGTCCAGTGGTTTCCAACCAGACCCCCTTTTCGATCATTGAGTAAACTAAGTGGCATATTTTATGGATATTTTAGTACATAATAATAACAGTACAGAACAAAAGATGAACTGTACAATTAACCCACATACTGAACACAATAACTGTGCGAAGTTTGTTTCAAACAAGCATTTTGGGTGAATTTCTTAGCAGAAATTCAGCCTTTTTGCTTGAAAAATGATCAACTGATTATCAAAATTGTTATTTTGATTGACTAATTAAATGTTGCCGATCTAACGTAAATATAAGAGCAGTAAAGTAACAGTACTTTGACCTACTACCTTTTACCAAAACTGATGATACCTGAATGATGACTTCTTCTTTCGACTGCTCCACCACTCCATGCTTCAAGATCTCTGACTTTGGTAGAACCTATATGCAGCAGTAAAAATGATTACACAAAAACATGTTTTATGTTCTTATATAATGCTGTTACAGTGCTGATTATTACTGACCTTAACAGCAAAGGTCTTGTCTTTGAAAATGTCCCTCACTTTCAAGATGGGTCCATATGAACCTTTGGCTATGAAGCCGAGGATCTGCGAGCACAGGAGCACAGTTATCTCAATGTTTACACCACTTTTCTCTCTAATTCTGTTCTAAAAGTCTTGCGTTGTGGTGTGTGGAATACCTGGAAGTGGTCTTGTCCAGGAAATCTTCGCTGTGGGAACTCAGGCAGAAAGACAGAGACGAAAGCTGGAGGAGTACTCTCTGTGCCGGACGTCTCAGCGCTGTCCTCTGGAGGCAGCAGGAGTTTGGGGACTGGTGGTCTGCCGTCCGGTCCCGCAGGCCGAGAAAATACAGCTGAGTGTCCGAGCCTGTGGGTGATGGAGACCCCCACATTTGAGAGGAACCCATGACTGAATCGACGCTGAGCAGCTGGTCCCTCTCTCTAGATAATAAAAGATAATGATGCTTAATGAACAGGGGTGGAATGCTTAGCTGAATACTGTACATAGTTATAGTATATATATCTATATACACTTTATATACATTTCAGAGGTAAATTTACTCCACTGCATCTATTTCATAGCTGAAGTTACTTTGCAGATTGATTTCACACAGAAAATATTTAACAGTCAAGTAAAATATGATACATTGGTAAAGACAAAACTACCTAAAAGTCTAGATGTTAATGTGCTGCTTAAATGTTGGTCAACCATATTGGTCAACAATCTGAAAATGGCCATTCTGCTGCATTATGTGTGTATATTTTGCCAATAAAAGTTTCAATTGGTAAAGCTTTTCAGTGCTTTTCAGTTTCTTTACATTGTTTTATTTTATGTATTTTATTTATGTGAAAGATCTGAGCTACTTCTTTCACTACTGCTTATAAGGATTATTTTTTAAGATACATCCATGCTGCCTGGCATATCCCGTTTCTAATCACCAATTTACTCTCTAATAATTATTTTTAACTTATTGGTAATTTTGTTCAAAGACCTAATAACAGAATTTAACTAAAAATTAAAGAACAAATTGATGAAATGTCTGCGAGCAAGACACATTTTCCAATGCTTATTATATCTGAGGCTGACTCAATGAGCTGCAGGCTGCACACAATCAAACCGAGCATCTATTGACCCTTCTGGTTGGAGGGAAGGTCACTGATCACTTAACATCTAATCAATAGCTCTATATTTGACAAGACTTCACTTTGATGCAGAAGACGGACCAACCCAGACATCTTGTGTCATAGATTTATATCACATTTAAAACACATTATTAAAAACTGACAAGAAGCTTCGCCACAACGTGAATTTATTTAGAAGATTTTAGCTAATCTTAATTTTAAACTCAATTGAATATATTACTATAAATTATGTAGAAAAACGCCACATCCAATGCAAAAGATGAATATTCTTGTACACATCTTTGCATGCAGCTCAACATCACATCAACAATAACTCCAATCTGATTCGCTCACCTTACTGTTTCTACTGATGTCGCTGCCCATAAAGAAACCAGAAGGATTTCACACAAAAAGGAGTAAAAACGCGACAGATGCAGCTCTTCCCCTCGCAGTCCGGTCTCAGCCATCACATCGTCTCGGCTCCACGTGTTGTGTGTGTGTGTGTGTGTGTGTGTGACGAAGAGGAGGAGAGAGAAATGTCATCCAGAGCGGGAAGAGCTCGATTCCGCTCCAGTTAAAGCTGTCAGATTAATGATCAATCATCCCCTCTGTTCCTCACAGACCTGCCCCCCCCTTTTTAGTTTTTATTCTAGAAAAAAACAAAAAAACAACACACAAACAGAAACGCACCACTGAGAGACTATAACACTTTTATTGACAGATAAACAATAAGCCACAGAGCTGATAGAAATGTGAATACATCTGCTGTTGCGATATGATTTGTTTGAAATGTTCAGGGTGTTTCTTCTTTTTCTTCTTCTGAACAGAAATGGGACTGAAATAAAAGGCGTAGCAGCACAGTTATACAAGTAACTCAACAGAAAACAACCGCGGTTACAAAAATATCAAAATACTTTGCATAAAAAAGTGCTTTAGTAATAAAACTACAAAACATACACTCAGCGATTAGCTGCAACATATTTGTTGTTGTTTTTTTTATGCCACAATACCATCAAATCAAGAGCCACATTATACAACACATTAAATCTTTTTGCTGCTCTGTTCTTGATATATTGCACAGGGCTGAGGTACAGCGAGCTGAGGGATGCAGACAGTCATTTCCAGGTAAAATATAAAATATCTTTTGTGGTTACTTGTGGGGAAAAAGGCCTTCCTGTCAGTGACAGTCATACAGCCATATACAAGCTCTGATTGATAAAACATATATATATATCTATTTATGACATTTTAAAATCTAGATCTTTACAGCTGGCAGCATTGAAGGTGCTTTCAGTTGAGTCCTATTTATTCTAGCAGACAGATCTGACATACAGTGTTCCTGAGCCAGCAGGAAAAGGTGCTCTCAGTCTCAGTCTTGCATTTATGGAAGCAGAGGAAAGAGTAACAGTGAGTGCTGGCTACATACTGGAAATCTTCCTCCTGCTACATACAATGCAACGTAAGTGGTCATTGTTTTGAAAGTTGCAGAGTGTATTAAATGCAGAGTGAAATTTTTAATGGCACACACACAAAAAACAACAAGATAATATATATATATATATATTATTTGGTCAAAATGGCACCCTGGTAATCTGGAGCTGTTCGAGTTCCCTGCAGGGATTTTGGCCATAAACTCAAATCTAAGACACATCAGGAGTATTTTTTTCAAAAACAAAAACTCAAGGATTTTACTTTTAAGTTCAGCAGGTTCATATGATACAGTACGGTACCCCCCCACCCAAATAAAAACTATTTGAAATGCTCCACCATCTCCCTTTCACAAATTCACAAAGCCAGACTGACATCCTGACCCCTAAGAGGCAGTCTTGCTTTTTCCCTGATCTCCACACTGAGGGAGTGTGGCAGCTGCTGTAGTGGATCATCCAGTCGAGCTCTGACGTGGTGTGTGAGTGTGTGAGTGTGTGAGTGTTTGTTTGCTTCACTTGCGCCGGCTGAAGATGCTCTTCTTGCTGGAGCTCTTGTCCGCGGTGCTTAGGCCGATGAGGAGCCGCGCCTTCTCATCTTCCTCCTGCTGCTGCAGGCTGTTGTCAGACTTCCCTTCAGACGCTTTCCCTCGCAGGTCCGAGCCTGAAGCTGGTTTCAGACGCAGCTTCTCCTTTATCATCTGAGCAGCGGAGAGCAAAGAGAACGAGTTCAGAAATAAATCACTTTTTTATGTTCAAATTTATGTTGTTTCTGCTCCTACTCTTCCTTATAATGGTAAAAAATTAAAACACCTGCAAACAAACTGTCTGCAATGACGGATACATTAAAGAAATGTAACAATAAATAGATTTTAAACAGTAAAGCACATTTTGGTAATATAATCTTAATTAAACAGCCATCATACCACAGCTTATGTGGGTTTCAAGTCATAAATGTTGTGTACCTGTGCTACAAGTGCTTTCCGACTGTCCCTTTTCACAGCCATGGCAAAGTCGAGCCACGTCCAGGTGTTGTTATGGTACTCCAAACAGGGCAGGACCAGGTTCAGGTCCTTCCAGTCCACACTACTCTTTTCTCCCTAAAGACGAGGGGGGATTTTATAGAGTCAAACATCAGTTCAACATCTAAACATCAGACTGGAAATAAAAAGTGCCATATTTAGTTAAAAAGTGAATTAAACCTGAAGTTGATATTAAAAACTTGTTACCAAACAGCTGCTTATTTTCAAATGGAGTTGTGTTTCAGACCACCTTATAAATTTAAGCCCAATATTATCTCTTTTTTTAGCTCTGTTTTTAGTCTCCACCAACTCTTAAGAGAAATATGTCTCTTTAGTTGCTAAATGCTCCACTGTGTTCACCAGCTCGTCACTAACTGTCTGTCTGCTGTTTGGTGCTGAGCAGGTATGGTACACTGAGTTTTTAGAGGTTTTTTGCTGAGAACAGCTGCCTGCTGAGGCCAAAAAGAGCAATGAGAGTGAACCAAAACAGTAAAGCTGTGGGTCATAAAATCAAAACAAAAAAAGAAAGATGGTAAAAACTACATAATGACATTATTTTTATCTTATACATTTTTTAAATGTTTAATATTTTTACAACTTGTTTTTACTCTTGATGCGATTCTTATTCTTTATTGCAGCAGAAATAAACAAAGTACGAAGAAACCGTGCAGGTGATGTTTTTCAGTTAGATAGTTCTGTATGAATGACCGGAGCTGTTTCTAGGTCAAGATATTACAGAATGATCCTCTTCAGTCTTATTTCTTTTCTTTCTATTAAACCTCATCATTCGTAGTACAGAACAGCAGTCCATGTAGATCTCAGAAACAGCCGTAATGCTCAGAAAACCCACCTTATAGCTGACACAGAGGGGCACTTGGGGAATCTTGATGTAGATGAAGGAGTTGTTCATGGCAGCTCGCTCCTTCATCTTATCAATGTCATCAACAGGATGCTGGTGGCAGGAAATTATAAAAAAAGGAATTACATTTCTTTTATTTTGACATAGAAAAGTACATTCAATCAAAAAGCAGCAATACCTCTGGAGGTTTCCTGAATGACCTCCTGACCCCCGCAGTGCGGTTCAGTCCCTGGGTGACCCCTTTGCTGGGGCCCATAGCACCCATGGTGTCCTCGGACGACTGCCGAGGCTTGACAGGGATACCTGTGACACAGAGCACATCAGCACTGTGGCCTCTGGGTGACCCCACACCCTATACTCCCACTGAGTCTCTCGCTCTCTCTCAACCTGTTCTCCCAACTGAGTCTCTCGCTCTCTCTCTGACACACTCACTCTAACACACATATCTCAAGGTCATATAAGTGAGCCTTTTAATAGCTCAAAGAGATGATGTAACACATTAATGGGCTATTCAATACCACACACACACA